ATTGTACATGTTGCTAATCGATAAAAGCTCGGGTTGGATAGGGAACCGCAAGCCGAACATTATTCGGTCAACAAAGAAAGTAAAGCAACCCTTAGGGGGGTGAGTGAAAACATCATTGGGGCCAGGGGGAACCAACTCCCATTCAGAAGGCATACCGCTGAACGACCTAAATCCCTCGATTTGGGCTGCAGAGGCATAAGAAAATGGATTTAGAACAACTAACTTGACTAGAGAACAAGCTATGGTTACATCTCGAGACTTAAGAAAGGAAGACGTTATTGACAAAGAAATAGGGCTCGTCCTGTATATAGGAATATCTAAAAGCCTAAGGGGAATACCTTGGGGAAGGAGGTTTAGTCGAGGAGAGTCGCTACCTCGATTAGAATCGTCTTTATTTTGCATCAAGTCCCCCGACAAAAGTGCTTGGGTATATACGTCATGGTCTATTCCAAAAATCGAGGTGGATGAACCCTACGACCTCTCTTGCTCGACTGCAGGCTTAGAGCCAATTATTTCGACAGAATCGGAGCTTGAGTATTCCTCTATTTGACGGACAAGGGAGCCAGGAATAGAGCCACAAATAGAGTCGGACCCAGAATCTACGAGAAAGAGTCGAGAAACGAAGATCAGTATAAAAGTGAAAGAAGGCGATAGAGTGCGCCGGTCTATGAAAGCTTCTAGCCATAAAGTCGACCTTAGGGGAAACCGATTGGGCCAGAAGGATGGTGAAAAAGAAAAAGGCCCGAGCCCAACATGGACTCGTCAGAAGACGAGGGGCGGTAACAAAGAAAGAACAGGAGATACCAAGATCGACAAAGGTCGACGCGCGAAGAAGATAAAGTTGACTACGCCTCGCAAAGTCGACTTCCTCATAAACATAATCTTGAATCGGAAAGTGCACATTTTAAGATTTAACACTAATATGCCCAGAATCATTCAAAGACCCTCAAGAACACGAAGAACATGCATAGAACTCCAAAATCAAAACCCCAGAGAATGGGCAGAAAAATCTTTCAGATATAGAGGTTAAGGGGAACTTACACATATTGATTGGAGTAAGAAGTTCTGAAAGCACCAGATAAGTAGCCGGAAGGATATCCACACCGAAATCGCTGGATGCTTTATTGCCGGAAAAAAGAGAAAGCTCGAGAATCCTTGAGTGCGAAAAGTGTGGGGGGGAGGAAGAAGAAGTTACTTATAGAAGGAATGCGGAACCCTGGCCGTTGGATGAGAGTAAAAACCAACGGCTCAGATGTGGCATAGAATTCGAAGCGGCAAAGGAAAAGGTGAGGCGGTGTGTCAGGTCCCAATTCAAAAGTTCGAAATTCAAAATAATGATAGTGGATATGTTCGGGAAAAGTCCTTAAGTGATAAAGTTGAACCACAGGCGCCCTAGCCGAATCACGTGAATCATCGACATGACGAATTGAGAATAAAGACGAGACGACTCATCAACAAAAAGAAAAAGAAAGGCCTAACTACCAAATTTACTCTTAAGCTCAAGGTCGCTTAGAGTAATTTTGGGGGGGGGGGACTAGATGATATAGCCCTGTTATTATAACCCGGTTCAGGCATTAGTTACTCGACTCGACAGACGCTGCCAAGGATATCGTCAAGATGATATCTCCAAAGTCGACATGGCCTATCAGTCATATGAGGATCACCACCGGTCTAGGGACGAGCCAAAGACGACTTCAGGAAGTCAACTTTGTATAAGTCGACCTACGTGCTAGAAGGCGAATAAGCATTCAAGGAGCCTCGGATATACAAACGGGACCATAAGTCGACTCGACGAGGCTCCGAATCGACTTAGAGTACCTCTGACGACTCACATTTACCTCGATATCGAAGCAAGGCCTCCTGAGCTAGAGAATCTGTATGAGATAAGAAGGAATCTAGGTGCTGACTCAGAGAGTGGGCAGAATGTGAATCGACAGGGCATTTTACACTTCATGTAAGTCGGCCAGAGCATTTCAGGTATTTCCAGTAATCATTTCTACCCTTATATAAAGGAGTAGAGGTGACTCCAAACCCTAACTTTTATTCTCTCCATTCATATTCAGCTGTTGCTCCTACTGAGCAAAGCCCATCTTCTTCTCTCTCACTGACTTGAGTGTCGGAGGCTCTTTACCGGAAAACACTTCCGGCGTTGAGTTCTTGCAGGTGTCCGCAACGGTTCACGGGCGACTTGAAGACGACTCAAACAGACCGGAGCTCATTTCCATCGGTTCATCCTAAATCTAGGAG